ATCCATCCATCCATCCATCCATCCATCCATCCATCCATCCATCCATCTCTCCCGACCGACCGACCGACCGACCGACCGAATTGTATGATCAAGCACTTGAAGAAGCACAGGAGGCCGCTGCTGAAGACCATGGAAGCCGTATACCGTGTTGCCGCCAGCCCCATTACTAGCATCAGACAAGATCGAAAGCATTTCATGCACGAGAAGGACACCTCTGCCTCCCCAGCTAAGCACACCAAGCAGGCAAAGAACCACGGCAGAATAGGTGTGGTGAGCGGATCCACCAAGGCCTCCAAGGCCTAAGCCTTGGTGATCCAAGGCAGGCTCGACGCAGTCTGCCAGCAGCAAGCGGATGACGAGATCCAGGTCAATCCAAACCGGCAGCAGACAAGACCAAGCAAACCCACCAGGGAAGCTTTCCTGCAGGGTGATCGGGTACATCCGCTGCTCCACCTGCCAAGTGGCATTGCTGAAAAGGTCCACCCAGGACAAGCTTGACAGCTTCACCACATCGCAAATGTCAGAACATGTCAAAAAGCATGTCAGAACACATTCCTTCCAAGATAATTCCCAGCCCTTAAGCTAGATGATGTGTCAGAACACACACCTGTCAGGATAGTCTGTGAATACATGTGCCTTGCCTCCTTCCAAATCAGCTCTGAAGCTGCATTGCCTGTGGGGTGACTGCGGTAAATTGTGGCCACAGGCCACTGGACAGACAACCAAGGGAATCGGCGACAGTAACCAACACTTGCTGTTCAAGCTGCCTTTTTCTTTTTTGTCTGAGTGCCACATGCCCAAACCTTATAATAATTGTAGCCAGAGACTTTTCTCCACCATACAGTAATTTCCTTGAGACAAACAAATCAGCATCCCATCCATTTTGGCGGGCAACGATAAAAAACTCTTGGTGAAAATACAAAAGAACCTGTGCAGGGATCATGCCATCCTCCACATCATGTCCGGCTTCAGGCTCATGAAGGACCATGGCTTTAAACGCATTGGAGCCTCCACTCTCGTGTCGAAGGAGGCATTCGGCCTTCCAGTGTCCCCAATGTCTGCATCTGAGCGAGCGGTTTGCGTGGCCGAAAATCAGTGTGAGAGCCCTTAACTTTCCTGTCCTTTCCTGGGCCCTTTGTGGAGTCGCCAAAATCCATGACCCTTGACATGCACATGAGCCCTCCTCAACTGCATACTGTCAACGACGGCGTCGGGATCGCTGTGTTGGAGGACATGGTTCGATTCAGCAAGGTTCAACGTCCTCATCTACCACTCAGTGACGAGAAGTCACCCAGTGATGGTGGGTTCTTCTTCGGCATACAGTGCTGGTTCGGTATCACAAGTCCTGGTTCGGGGATTGTGTTGTTTCCCCGAATGGACTTCATGGAAGAATCGGCTGCCAAGGAGCTTGAGGTTGGCCACGACCTCTCTGTATTCCAAGGAACCTTGAGACTCTATACGATCAATCGCGTTTTGTCATCAGCGCTCAATGACCAGTTGCGCAGGAGCAAAAAAAAGGTGCGAAACTCCTCTGCCCACCGAAACATTCCCATCAGCTCCTCGAATGATGTGGCATACAAGATACGATTCCGTTTCAGATGATCGCTGCGTTGTGCAAAGGGCTCGGACTTGTCTTCGAGTCTGGACTTCCCCCAAATGCCTCGGTCTCCACAATGGTCACCCCTTCCAAGGAGTTCACACGAAGTGCTTTTGGATCCACACAGGACATTCTCTCAAATGCTGAGCCTTCACATTTGGCCCAAGCTGTGCCAAGTTCGTCCACTCAGCCAAGCACGTACCGATTCCAAGGGAAGTAGCTTAAGGTGCCAGTACTGGCCCCTGGGCTGCCAGAGGAAGAAGCCAGCCATCTGCAACACCCTGGAACCCCCGGGGAGCTCCCCGACTGTGTGACAGGCTCCGACCGAACTTTTCTCCTCTACACGTGGCTGTCCTCAGCCGAGCAACGGTAGCTCACGATCGTCCTCGATCGCACGAAGATGGCTCACCCACGCCGCAGCTTGCTGCCTGACTTTGAGCCGCTTTCCGGCGATCTCGGTGAGCGGTTAGCGCTCACGATGACGCTCATGTGACAAAGATTTGGGCAACTGGTTTGGAATTGCGCAATACATACAATACAAAACAGTACAAAAAAACACAACAACTGGACATGCAAACAAACATACATCCATGCATACAATACAATACAATACAACACAATGCAATATTGAAAAAATAAAACATGTATGCCTGTTTGGGGGGTTCATCCTTTGCTGGGATGTGTTCTTTTTGCCAACCCTCAGGTGCGCAAGATCGCGAAAGCCATTCATGGCGTAGTGGACTCGTGCCCCGGGGTGGGTTCGTGGGATTGGCTGTTGGCCTTTCGCAAACGGACCTGGAATTTGTCTTCGGAAGAATGGAAGGCGGTTCGTTTTCGTTCGGCTTGTCCCGGGGATCTATTGGCCAGCACTGGATAGTGCATCCCTTGCTTGAGAGACTGTACTTTGAACCTCAAAAAGGCATTGTTGCTGCGGGGTTTTCACTGAAGTCCACCAGGTATGCATGGAGAAGATCTGGTGCTGATCAGGAGCGAAAGACAGCCGTCGGCCGTTGCGGAGGCATTGATCTGACACCCTTTGCACTCATGTGAGTTGCCTTCCCTGCAAATTTTAGTGAGTGGATGTCATACGGACATCATTTGGGCTACCATGCCTATAAGTTCAATTCCGATGTTTTCAGCGATATGCCCTCAAGAATCACCCTGAGGGACCTTCTTGTACGCCCAGCTTCGCCTGTTTCGATTGTGCAGAGTTGCCAAAGCAAGAAAAACGTCCTCACCAAATCCAAAATTATATAACAAGAATAACAAGAGACGCAATGGTTGGGAGAAAATTGCGCAGGTTGGGCGATGATTGGAAGCAATGAGGGTTTGCTTGGCACGAACCACGAAACCCTACCTGCAAGACTAAGCTGCAGACTTGCGCGCCAAGCATGTGGCTATTTTGAGCTGCCAAGGCTTTCAGACACTGGCAGCCCCCTTGTTTTTAGTACCTCTTTAGGCTTCTATTCCTGGGTCGTTCTGATTCTCGTGTTTTCTCCTGAACAGGATCAACACGTGATAGTGAAGCGAATGCCTGGTGAAAGCCTCAGTGTCAGGTCTTGAAGGTGGAACGGGTGGAACAGGCTTTCACGACCACACGGGTGTTCTACGACATCCCACGAACTAGCTCAGCCACCAGCTGAGCCAATCGTATCAATCATTGGTCAACCGACGCCTCCTGAATTGCTTGCAGTTGCCTGAGGTGCAAATGCCCCGGGCTGAGATGAATCAGAGGTCTCTGCTACATTCTGCGCGCATGTTGATGTTGTTTTTCCCCGCGACTGGGTGGCTCTTAGGTGCATCAGAACGAAACAAAATGGCCCAATGTGCTGCTCTTAGTCCGATGAATCCAGCAACACGCTTTGGAATCGGACCGGGCCACCGGTTCTTTGTTTGGAATTGGACCTGTTCTTTGGTGGAAGAGACGGTTCAGGACATGCTGGCTCATTTCAATCCTCGGGATGCCAATGTGCCTTACTGCGAGGCGTGTGGGGGTCAGAAGTAGAAAGGAATGGCATAATTAATGGCCTTTTCAAAGGACGGTAAATCGTCGGTTTGTCACATGTGTGTTTTTCCATTTGAACATGTGAGTCGAAAAAAAAACCGGGAATATGTGTTAAGTAAGGCATGTTCCCAGAGGTTCAGAAATCGCTTGGCCACCGCTTGGTATTCTGGTGTTTAAAGTGGGTATGTTACCTCGTCGCGCTAGCAAAACGCAGGGTTGCGCTAGGTTTGGCGCTAGGATCAAGTACTTAGGTAACTTAGATAAGATTAACAAACAAGAGCAAGACATACATATATTGGCAACTGAACTTGTTGATGTAAGAAGGTACAAGTGAGGAAAAGCTGCTAACAGCTTGTTTGGTTGGTTTTTGGAGATGAGCCGATGAGCTGGGCATTGTTCGTTTTCCCTTTGGTGGAACAGCCAATGAATAAATCCCAACTTTTCAAGGGCCAACCAGTTGTGGAAAGCACTTTTGCTCAAGAGAGCCTTGTCACCGTTGCCATGCCAGAGCCACTTCCGAGTGCACAGCCTCCACAGGCTTGTGGAGCTTCGACATGCAGCTGTGGTGTGAAAGCACCGGTGCTGAAGAGCGGCCATTGGGTTGCCTCTTGTGACACCTGCTTTCTTTAGAGAGCTTTTTTGGTTTCATTGCTGGTTGTTGCGATTATGCTGAGCCATTTCTTGTTTTAGTTTCTTGTCCTAAAGATTGGGTAGAGATGGTCTCATCTGATGCGAGTGCAGGAAATGGAAGGTGTCACCTCATCTGGGCATAGAAGAGCTTCTCACCACTGCTATGTATATATCATGGGCGCTTGGAAGTTCACCACATGGGCGCTGCAAAAACATGGGTACCATGTTGGACACAGGGCTAAGAAACGCTTGTTCGTCGATGAGCCCGAAGACAATCCAAGAGGCCGTCCGCGGATCAGTGAGCAGCCACACTTATTGCAGCTAGCCCAGGAAGTGCTGGGGAGACATTCCAAGCCTGGAAGCAAAGTGGTGACAGTGCAGCAAAGCGAGGAGGGCAAGCGGAAAGTGCGTGGAAGGGTTCCAGACACTGAAGGTGTCGCGGCTATGTCGCTGCTTGCAGCGCCAGGTAGCATCTATGACATGGAACCAGAACTGCAAAAGAACATGAGTGTGCCATCATGGAGACGACTTCTGAAAGAGCACTTTGGTGAGTACCGCTTGGGCGCTCGGAGGACAGATATTTGCACTCATTGCAACACATTCCACACAAAGGTTGTCCCTGATTTCAAGCACTTTTTGCAAAAGGCCCGAGCAGACTTGGAGGCGATTCTCCCTTCATATTTCAATGTGTTCGATGAATCTGGCGGATCGCAAGAGGATGCTGACAAAGGAGATTGGGCCAAGGTTGCCAAAACATGGCTTCGATATTTGCATGGGCACAATGAGCAGTTCTTCGAGGAACGCGCAAGCTTGACAGCAGGACAAAGACTTGCCCTTTTTTCTGAAGTCGAAGCTCCCCTGGAGCATGAGTTGAAGGGGCGGATTTCTTTGCTGAATGCTTACCAATGGCACATGTTGTCAGCACGAAGGCAAGGAGAAGTTTTTCGCACTTTGATCGACACAGTTAGTCCCCAACTCCCACATGGTCATTGCCTTCTGGCTTTTGATTGGCGACAAAAACTGAAACTACCCATGGGGCCAGAGGAAACAGGTACTATGTGGCATGCTCAGCAGAAAATAGCTTTAAGCTGCTGGGGTGGGTGCTTGGTACAGCATACCGCAAAGTCTTCTGCAGCAAAGCCTCAGGTACAGATGACCTTCTTCCTCTTCCTCACCGATGTTGTTGAGCAAACTGCCGAGGCAAGCAACCTCATGCTCTCGGAAGCATTGAATGCAGCAAAGGTCCCTGAAAATGGAGTGTTGCAACTATGGTCTGACACTGGGCCTCATTTTCGCTCAGCTGAAAATTTGTATTTCTATGCGAGGAAGCTGCCACAAAAACGCAACCAGACAATCTGGACCCGCTGGCTTGGAGAACAGCATGGCAAGTCTATTTTAGACGAAATGTTTGGGTGGACTGGTGTTCACAGATCTGGCTGGCTTGGGAAATATGTGCAGACTGCACCAATCTACAATTTGGAAGACATGGTGAAGGCGTTCAGAAAGGGGGCAGCTGCACAGGTGAAGAAAGACCCCAAGGGCCCCAAGTGGATTGTCAAACATGTGCCCTACCCAGAGTTAAAAGCAAATATCAGACACTTTCTCTACGCTCCTTCCATGAAGATTTCACGAACCTACGCTGTGGATGCAGAACCCTACCGAGGAAGGGCCAATGTATCTCCACCTTTGTTCAACCGAGTTTTTGCTGATTGCAGCCAGAGGCAGAAGGTAACAGACTGGAGAATTGAAACTTTGGAGGTTGAGTCCCCAGACGCATGGAGGAAATCTTTCTTTGATGGAACAAAGGACTGGGAAAATGAACCTCCAGATTGGAATGCTGACCACCATTTGAAGAGAGTTTTTGAAGTGCAAAAGAACAAGCTACCCCCAAGAGAGATTTTGCCTTACAAAACATTGGAAGACAGAGTGGCAAGCAAGGCCAAGCGACAGGAAAAGGCCAAACAAAGGTTGCAGAGAAAGCAGCAGTACATTGAAGAGCTGAGGCAGGGACGTCCTGCAGAGCTGTCCAGCAGCTCCTCTTCAGATACCACTGACAGTGATGAGAGCGAGCGAAGCAAGTTGAAAAACAAGAAGGGCAGCTGCTGGGGTGGGGGCGATGGCTTTGTAAACACAAAAGAAGATAGGGAAACCATTAACCATATCTTGGCAATTTGTTTCTGTGTGCAAGAGGATGGCTACTTTCAGCTTCACATTTGGAACCATTGGACTCTGTAAGTAAGAACGCAGCTGCTAAAAGGGCATACACAACATACAACCATATACATGAGCGCATGTTGGGTACATGATGGCCACCGCTTGGAATTGCTGTGATTCCAACCTAGGATAATGATTTTAGAACGGGTTTTTTTCACCTCATGTTGCTGTCAACGAACAAAGCTGTCGGGAGTTGTGCATCCAAGCTTGCGGATTTCACTGATCTGAGTCTCAGCCCGCCCGGTCGGTCGACAGGATGCACTCACCGAAATTGGCGTGTTCTCCTATCTGAGGCGATCGGCTTGGGGAGGGAACTGAGGGTACATCGCTACTAGTTACTAGTAGCAAGGATACTGATACTACTAGTAACGAGGTGCTTACTAGTAGTAGCAAGAGATCCTTGGGGGCTCGGAGGGTGGGTCGGGTGGGTCGCTTCACATGATGTAAACCTATTTTTTTGGTTTGAATGCGGCTTGGGACGGTTTTCCACCTATATATATATACATACATATCTTGTACACTTGTACATACAGATAATGTTTGTATATATATATATATATAATGTCTATATATCTATTTCTATCTCTATCTACTCTACTCTACTACCATACACTTAGTGTGGGCCGCACGTAGAATATATTAACAGCATGTCGAAAACAAAGTTTTGTGTTTCCTTTGAATGTCCCCATGTGAATACTCTGGAGAAAACACGGTTTGCGGCTTGATGAATCAGAGGTAGAAAGCAGGTACGGAACTCATGTTCGCAACATGTTGACTGCGACCCGGCATCGAACACATTGTCAGGTCGCACGAAGTGCATGATCACTCGAGTCAGTCCTCAATGTAGGACCTCCCACGTTGACCAAGAGGAGAATCAATGAAACGACATAGGAGTTTGTTGATCCACCATGTTGGTATTCGGATGGCATGGTCTTATTATGTCTTACTCCATGCGGTCCAATTCTCAGGGTCCAATGTCAATTCTCAGCAGAAGGGTACTTCTTCAAACAGAAGGGTCTTCGCCTGAAGTGTGGTGGAGAAGATGGTCTTCCTCGATCGATGTACTACGCAAGTCTCGCCTGAAGTGTGGGAAAAACCAACTCGGGTACTTCACTGGAAGAGGATGTACTGCCGGCGTGAAACGTGTCGCACCGACAAGCCAAGGGGTTGGCAAGAAACCATTCAGAATTCAGTAAAACCTGTAGACAAGCCAGATCCATTTAGATCAATGACAAGAAGTTGATCAATCCACCAGTGCTAAAGTGAACCGCTACTACTATGGGAAGCTTACAGGCAGAAAGTCTGTACACCTCACCTTCTACTGCAGCTGGCCGCAGTGAAGCAACGTAATGAAATGACAGGGTCATCGATTCATGCGTTGAAGCACTTTGCACTGGGACGAGATATCAGAAAAATACAGTCATTGGCTCAAGCCGATGCCGATATGTAAAGACCCTTTAGACACCAAAAGAACCATCCAAAGGCTACCGTCACTCAGGGCTCTCAGAGCGCATCTATCGGCAAAAGTCGCAGCTGGGAACTTTTATAGACTCTGCTTGCCTCTAGAGATATGTTTTTGTGACTGCTTGTTTCTAGGTGATGAAAAACTGATGTTTCTGTCCCCAAAATGAAGGGGCGTGACAGCTCTGGGCAGCAGTCCACAAAATGAGCTTTGGAGTTGTCGCCAACCTGCAAAATCCACCAGCAGCATTCCTGGATTTTCCGCCCAACATCGGCGCTCGATGAGCTCGATTTTCGCACCACGGGATGTCGACAATGACTGAGCCCTACTGAGCCCAAGCGGCTATGGCAAAGGTCTTCATCCATAGGTTGTAGTCATTCAGGAAGGAGATTTGAAGCCGCCTGCAACGAAACTGCCCGGGTCTATCGGTCAGCCCACCACTGCAGGCGACAGCCAGATGTACCACAGTATTTGCCAGAATCTAAGTGAGCAGCGCACACTTCGACTTACAGGGTTGTTCACGTGTGGGGTCACCAGAAAGTTGCTTCCGGAATCCTAGACATTCCTCCATAGAAACTGGATTCTTTCCATTGACCATCAGGGGTCACTGGGGTGTCGGAATCTTTTGCTGTCACCACGGTCTGGCCGATGACTGGTTGCGAGGTTGAAGATGATTGGTGCTTTTACTGATGGCCCTGGAGGCAGTCATGTGGAGATGCTGATGCACTGGGGTTTGAGCCTTTTGTGATATTTTGTTCCTTGTTCGGTGTCCTTTTCATCCAAAAGCGAGCGGTCCACTTCCAGTGGACACTTCCATGATTTTCCTCATCGAAACAGACCAACATTCGAGCCAGTCAGACTGGTTTCAGCCAGTCATGGGTTTCGCCAGCATGTTGGACCATTGAAACCGCTTGGATTAGTGGAAGATTTTGATACTTTGTGGAGTTGCATGATGTAAAGATGATGGGCGAGACGGTTGGCACGATCTTGACAGGGCCCAACCGACTACTAGTCACAGAGTATGGTGGCAACGAGAGCTTTACCCAGGCCAGGCACACTGAAGAATGGGTCCAAATCAATCACCAATCACCAAGCACCCAAAACATGGTAGATGAGCATTACCCAGTAGGCCATTCTGTTCATTTGTGGTGGGAGGTCACTAACTCAACATCCAAGAAGCACTTTCCTTTCACCCAAACTCGCTAGTGTTGCTTTGCCTCAGTGTGCAGCGGTTTTGAGTTTGGGCTGTAACCAAACCTTTGTTCATTCTTCTGCAGAGAGCTCTCAAGCAGTTCCCGACTGTGTCCTACATGACAGATGTTCCATGCCGCCGCATGGCGTCCATGACCCAGCTGTTCGGGGCTTGCAGGTCCAAACGGCGCTCATCAGCAATGAAGAGCATGTCATCCAACGGCTGATGCTGCTCGGCCAGAACTGGCATGAAAAGCAGGGCTGATGAGACCAGTTTGTGTCGAATTGGGGTTGTAGCGCACGAGGTCCACAACGAAGGAGAAAAACGAAGTCCAGGTTCGAATCGATCGAACACAGCACGGGCGCACCTAAGCGCACAGCCGCAGACCCTTTTGGCGGATTTGAGCCCACCCTCTAGCGGTGGTTCATGGTCATGTTCAGACCTAGGCGTGACATCAAGTCACAACTCAAGTGAAAAACGTGGTGCACAGCGTGCATCTCAACACAGGGCTATTTTATCGGCCTTTCAGGCCTCATTCGGCAGCCAGAGCGCGGCATTGGTGAGCCACGTGTTGAGCTCTGGGCGAATCGTCCGAGCTTGGGCATCCGTCCGGTCGGGAGGTGGACGGTGCATTGCGCAGTAGGCGCAGGCCCTTCGAACCATCAGTGGTTCGTTCATCTGTTCCACCATGTGGCATGTCTCGTGGTGCCAGCAGGTTGCAGTTCTGTTGGTGACTATGGGCCTTGCAAAAGGGCACATGGATGTGTGATGATCCATTTCCCATATTGATCGGCTGATCAGGTTGTGGCCTTGGATGACCATGCTGCGCAGGCTCAGGACTTCATCGCGCAAGCTTTGCACCTCATCGATCTGCAAGTTGAAGGCAGATCGGGATTCCCTCGCGGCACGGAGGGCATTCTCAGCTTTCATCTTTTCTTGTTCGAGGAGGTCTCGAAGTCGGGCATGCACAATGGGTTCATCTTTCTGAACCTGAGCTTCTTTCATCGGAGGCTTGTTCTTGACATTCATGTGGCAACTCCAGCGTCCAGCAAAGAAGACGCCTGCAATGATGAACACATGCAATAAGGCCAGAGTGGCCAGCCACATCAGCAAATGGTCCTCTTCTTGTGTCTCTGTCGTCTCACCCTTCTCACATTGCTGACCGTTTGTCAGCACCAGCATGGATAGCACCAGTAGCAGCCAGAAGACATTCGGCTTGCGACTCTTCATGACATTCCCCTTGGAGCGGCCGCCATGGCTCATGGCGTACACATACACCACAGCTTCCATGGTCTTTGAGAAGTAGACGGTGGCAGGAAGCTCTTCATTCGGTGGCATGTCATCATCCTCAAAGATCTCGGAGTACTCAGAGACGTTGACATTCGGTGAGATGTGTTCCTCGGCATGGTCCTGATTTTCCTCAGGCTCATAGTGTTGCGGCTGGAAGTCGAGTGTGGTTTCCGCTATGGCTTTGGCCTTTTCATTCTTTGTCTTCTTCTTTGAAGCCACATAGTTCGGGTCCCACGTCAACTTCACTCGTCGATGCCGTAGGCGAGCGGCTAGCAAGACACGAGCTGACTCTTTAGTGAGTCCGTCAGCTATTTGTCTTTCTGAGCTCATCCATCGAAGCTGTCCATTGAGCTCCTCCAGCATCTCCTTCATGACTCGGATTTCGAGGCTCACCCTTTTGTCCACCACTGACGAGCTGACTCCTTCCCTGTGGTAGGAGTCGTACAAGGCCTTGGCATCAGTCACCATGATCGGCGTCAAAGTTGAAGACGCCTTCAGCAGATCTTTGAGCTTGAGGTCGGGGTTCATGATGTAGTGCCAATACCTGCAGGTGAAGTCGATGCTATCAACTGCTTGGCCACCTGCTTGGGCCTCGGCTGCCAGTGAGCTCCGGGTGACTCGGGGTGTGCGGAAGCTGCGCCAGTCCAAAACATGATACTCGCCATCCTCTCCCGAGCTGAGCAGCTGTCGATTGACAAACATCAAAATGTAGCCACCCTGAGAACTGCCATCGGAGCGAGCCGTGAAGCCGGCATCAAAGAAACACAGCAGCTGCAATTCGGTCGGGTTTCCGATCGGGTTGTAGTGAAGGCTGACGTCTTTGTGTTCCTTGGCGAACCTCAGCAGCTTGTTGCACTCCTGGGCTGTGTTCACGGTAGCCCGCTTGATTTGTCCTGACAGCATGGACGTCGAGCATTGGAGATGTGGTGCTGTCTGTACTGCAGGCCATTGCAAGGATCCAAGCAACCCACGAACCTGAGTGATCTCCTTTTCCGAGAGCTGGTCGTGAGGATCACGCCCCTTTTGCAGTGTGATGGGCTTCACCTTGGAATAGTAGTTCTCCTGGTGTAGGCGGCGACCACCTTCTTCAGTCTTTTCCAGTTCACAGCCGCAGTACTCGAGATTGGGCAAGTCTTCTTTCCATTCTCTGAACGAGAAGTTGGCTCGAAGCATGTCTGTCACGGCCTTGTATCTTGGAGATCGAGGACAGCCGGCACCCAACATGTCATCAACATGCATGATCACCATTCCACAGAGCTTCTCGGACCCAAGTGTGGCCGTCTCCTGGTGGATGAGGTTGCGCTCATCATAGTCCGGATCATCCTTCTCGTAAATCAGGAAGGCGCACGGGTCAAGCGGGTGCTGACGTAGTCCGGCTCGAAGCAAGCGATCAACGGCCTCCAGATACCAGCCTCTGGGGGCGTCAGTTTGGCCGTAACATGGCTTCAACAAGAGCATCCTTGTATCCTCCGAGGCTCCCAGCAGTTGAAGTGCCTCAGACGGAAGTTTGACCCATAGCTTGCGAGCCTGTGGTCGACCCTGCAAGAAGGCTGTGCTGACATCAGCAGTCCAAGTTGGCCAGTGCATGTTGGCTGCAAGTGAGAGCACCATAGATCTCGACAATCGTGTCGTTGTTGGTGATGATGTAGTGATGGTGCCAGACAGTGCATCCGGATCATTGAAGCCTCGGACGATGAGCCGGGCTTTAGCACGGGGACTGCCATCTTCATTCTTCGACCATTTGAGCAGGATCCTCGAGGTCAAAGTCCGAGATTCCTCAGCTTCTGCGGTCGTCTGGAAAGCCCAGACTCCGTGGTCGAAGAAGGATCTGAGCTCCTTGACCTTGGCTTCCTTGAAGAGCGCACGCTCATGTGGGCCAAGAAGCCGTTCGTTCACCCCTCCTTTGTCTTTCTTTACCTTCTTGGTGTGTGTCTTTTTCTGCTCCTTGGCAACCTGTCGAGCACTGTTGCGAACCAGGTGAGTGCCAGAGTACATGGCCATCTCCTTTCTGGTCTCACCAGAGAGTTGAAACACGGTTGCGCCTGTCCAAGTGCTGGTGGTGCCTTCGGGTGGAGATGTCACAGTACCATCATCGGTGTGGAGGCGGCTTTTGCCATCATGTTGATGCACAAGTGTGATCTTGAGCTTATCGAGCTGTTCCACGGAGACAGGACAGTCCTTGGGAAGTTGATCAATGTGCATACGTCCACGTCGAGGGATCAGGTGATGGCGAATGAGACAGCCTGCCTTCAACTCCCAGTAGTCCGTGATGCGATCGTCCAGCTGCAGGTATCCTTGTTCATCCATATGCCACCCTTGCGGCAATGATGTGGTGTCGAGGTTCTCAAGGTAAAATCCTTGACCTGCTAGCTGCTCTGGGGGTTGTTGTGGAGGCTCAAGGTGGTTCATTGCAGCCGAGGACTCCGGATATGGATTGTCTCCATGTGTTCTCCGGTGCCGGAAAGGAGCAAAGCTCAGGGTCTCCTGACGATTGAACCGGAGTCTTTGCTGGTGGAAGGTTTCTGCTGGTGTGGACTCATAGAGTTCAGCTGTGGCTGGATCCAGTGTGGGCCTCAACTGAGCACTTGGAGTGTTCGGTCTTGTGGTTCGTGCTGGGGGCTCTTCACTCGGTTCTTGGCTGGGTTCGGACAGACCATCAGTGTCACCTGGTACCGGAGGTGGTGACATGGTTGCCTCTGCGTCAGGGCCTTCCTCCTGAGCAGATGGTGCCGCGGCTTGGCTTGTTGCAGCTTCTGCTGAGTTGGTAGTCACTGTGGGTTGTGCTGTCGCCTCAGTCTGTGGTACAGCCTCTGCTGAGTTGGTAGTCACTGTGGGTTGTGCTTCTAACATGAGGCGAGGGCGTTGCCGTGGCGGTGTCATCTCGTGCTCGGAGTCAGACTCGATGGAAGATCCCTGACCATGTTCGTCCTCTTCCACATCGGCCAGGTTTTGCCGGTTGACCCTGTTCAAGTCATAGAACCGTGTGACTCCTCGGGACTTCAACTGTCGCACGGCATTCAGGGCGAGCTGGGTGTCATCGATGGCATGGTTGAAGCTCTTGACATCTGCACGGACATGATGCGGTGCACACCTTATCAACTGAGACTTGAATGCTAGCCAGTAGACGGACACAGGGCCTTCAGCTTCATCGGAGCCAGGTCGACGTTCTTTCATGACCACTTGAGCTGGTCCCAACCATCGGATCTTCACAAGATCAGGCTGTCTGGCATCCCTCCAGAACCATACTTGTTGGCCCAGGGCATACTCGGAATTGGTGCCTTTGTACTTGAGGTTGAGAGCTCGTCGTAGTCGGCGGTCGGCATCAGCATCATTCAAGGCTTTGCGAGCAGCATGCCTCTTGGACAACATCTCTTCAAAGGGCTGGTTGCCTCCAAAGTGAACCGGCTGCGTCGAGTCAGAGAGAAGATCACCCGCCAAGCTAGGCTGGTAGCCCAGGACCCATTGGGCAGGCGAGAATCCTGCCACCCCTGGCGTGCTGTTGAGCTGAGGGACGATGTAGCACAAGGCTTCTTGGATTCCGGCAGGGCCATCGACCTTCATGTCGTCCAGGTACACCTCAACTGATTTGCGGATGACCGCATGACGTCGCTCCACCAGGGCCAGTCGCTCATGTGCTTCTCCAGGGGACACGACGTGCTTGATGTTGTGAGCAGAGGTCCATTCATCCATCTGGGTGCTGAGCCAACCTCGACCTTCATCAGTGAGGAGAGAGCCAGGAGTGCCAAAGTGTGCAATCCATGCTCGTTCAAGTGCCTTGATGTAGTTGTCCGTGTGCTCAGAGCGGATGAGCACTGCAGCAGTGTAACGAGTTGCTGAGTCGACCATGCTCATCACGGCATATTTCTGGGATCCACGACGAAGCCACATAACGTCAGCCTGGAGCACCTCATTGAACTGGGTGTTCTTGGGCATTGCCGCAGGAGCGGCTTGAGCAGGTTTCTTGTACTTTGCACATGCGAAGCACCGGTAGGTCTTGGCTACCTGCAAGATCGTGTCGGAAGCTCCTCTGGCCTCAAGCAATTCGACCAAAGCGGCAGGCGAAGGATGGCCAAGATTTCGGTGAAGTCGCTGCACGGTACGGACGGCATCCTGCTTGGTCTCGCTTCTCAGCTTGATGAGGGAACTTGTGGTTTCTCGCTCGTCCTCTGCGGCGTGGCCGGTCTCCCAGTAAGTTGGCGGTTCATCAACGGCAAGGGCAGCAGCAAGGGTAGCCGCTAGAGCAGGTTGGTACTCTTCGAGGTACCTGGTGCGAGAACCATAACCGGGCGCCGATCCTTCCAGTGGGCAGTGCTCATGATCGTGTTGACATTGAAGATGAAGAGCGTCTTGCACCGCCTGCTTGGTGGTCAGCAACGAGGTGTTCTTTTGCACCGGCTTCCACTTGCCATCATTGTCGAGGCATTGAGCTCCATATCTGCACTGCGAGAAGTCTGTCCTCCGTCCAGGAAGGTCACGAAGAGCTCGAGTCTGCCAAGAGAGAGCGTTCTTCGGTTGCTCAACTGTTGCGTGACGACCTCCAGCAACTTGGACCAAGTAGCCTCGGCGCACAAACATCAGGTGTCTGTCATGGTGGTGGTGGCGAGCTGCACGGAGAGCCTCTTTCTGTGCCGGTGTACGCCGTCCAAGGGACTGCATTTTGCTCCACAGCTTGCACTCAGGTGCCAGCAGAAGTTCATCAGGAGTCTCTTCGTCGAGCAATTGAAGGAACTTCTCTTGTTGGTCTAGGCGCTCAAAATCCCAACCAGTCTCGTAGGAGAAACAACGAGTCTCCATGCCCAGGGTCTCGGCCATTTGTGCCGTTCTGGCTTTTCCACAGTAGACCTCCCACAAGATGCGAGGTCGTTCAGGCTGATGAAGTTCCCTGGTGATGTAGGCTGAGAGGTCGTTGAGCTGAGTGCTGAGTTGGACATCCATGGTCTTCAGCTCTTGCTTCCTCAGAGGTCGGGTCTTGGTGTCATTGACCTCATCGATGTGCTCAAAAGTGGTGAATCCGTGCTCGGCAGCCATGAAGTCGTTGAGACGATAACCGTCGTGCTGTTCAATGCCTTGGTCATTCGTTCGGAGGACGAATTCCGGCCGCTCAGGATCATAGTCCACACTGAGAAACTCATTGGTGAGGGACCAGAGATACTCACCTTGGCGGCCAAGAGTGGCAGGCATCCAAGACGAACTGCCGATGCGAAGGCGCTTCTGAGCAAAGTCCATGGTCATGCCCAGGGCCTCAATGATAGGCCTTCCGCAAAGCATAGGCGTGTTGCCTGGGAGCAAGAACAACTCGATGGTGCCGTACTTTCCATCCACAAAGGTCGGAACATGGGCAGACCAGTCTGACCACATGGATGCATCACCTCCAAATTGGAATCTTCTCCGGCCTTTGCTCATCTTGATGGTGTCCACCGGGAACTCCAAGGCACGAAGGTGGTCCAGGTACCTTCGGAAGGGGCCATAGCCAGACAGGAAAGCACTGGCGCCAGGATCGAGCATAGCACAGTCCGGCCGTTCAGCTCCACCAGAATCCTGAAAGATCAGTAGGGCTCGGTCATCAAGTGGTGTTGACATGGCCATTGCTTCGGTGGTCGATGCTGGCCGCTTGACTGCCGGAGTCCGTGAGGTCGGACTTGATGACTGTGGACAGTTAGCAGCCCAATGTCCTGCCTGTCCGCAGCGAAGGCAGTTCATGTTGGCCTTGGCTCTTCCACGAGGATCAGGTGGTGGTCGGTTCGCAGCCTTTGACTTGCCGCCTTTCGAACTCCCTTTTCCTTTCCCTTTTGTCCTCCAGGACGACGGAGAGCTGGAACCGGTAGCCGTCGATGTAGGTGCACCTCCACTGTCAGTCAGAGCGACGATGGGCAGATAGCCACGGGAGGTCTTCAGCTCTTGAAATCGTCTTCGGGCGTCCGTGTAGGAGGCAAAAGCTGAGTCATAGGCAGCAGCCATTTGAGAAGGGCTGTTTGCTTCATCGTTGTCAGGCCATGGTTCCTCCTCACCATAGTACCCTGCATCATAGTCAAAGTCCTGACCTTCGTCATCATAGGCCTCATAGGTGGGAGCCTCTTCAAGCCAACCTTCATCCTCCTCATAATATCCATGTTCCCACTGTTCATCGTCCTGGTAGTTCTCCTCGTCGTAGTCGTCGGCCACATAGGCACGGTGGTTCTTCCAGGAGTGGGACTGGATTCCGAAGCGGCGATTCCGCTCCACATTCCATCCTCCGCCCTTGTAGTCCTGTCCGAGGATCAAGTAGAGCGCTTCAATCACCTCATTCTTCTCCATGGTAGGTGCCTTCAAGGTGATAAGCTGACGTTGCTCTCTTGATAACCCGGCACGGCGGAGTAGATGCCATCCTTGAACCGAGGCTGGGAGCTCTACTTTGTGTTGTTGCAACTTGCGGTAGGCCTCTTCGTGGTCGTTGATGAACGTGAGCAAGGTCTGGCCTCCATGGCGTTGCAACAAATTGAAGTAGCTCTCAAAATCTGCAGGAAGCTGAACTCGGGCGTCGTATGCAAAGTTCCGATCGAGGACCTCAATGATCTTCGGAAAAGCGTCGGTCTTCTCGAGGTCCTCCAAAGCCCAGTCCTGGAACAATCGCCAGGTGAGTCCAGTGAAGCTTCCCACGATATTGAGGACACTCTCATTGCCTCGTTTGGTGATGGACATCTTTCGATGATAGAGATGAATCCTCTGTCGCCATTCGCGGTAGTCACTTGGCTGACCGCTGAACACGGGCACATAGGAGTCCCGGAGATCCAGGTAGCTTGTACCTGAGGCACTTCCCGATCCGGATGCCTGCGTCGTTGTCTTCTTCTGTTGGGCCATGGTTCCAAAGAGCTCTTCTAGGACCTGCTTGGATGCTGGGGTGTTGAGGTAGCAGATGAAAAAGGCCAAGCAAGGAACTAGACAAAATGAAAGAGCTCCTGGGACCGTCCTTGACGTAGGTCTTCTTCCGAGCGTTCGGGAAGTCGTCGCGGAGAGCGCAGGGTAGGGAGCCCAGGTCTCCCCGGGCTCCGCTACCAATGTCGAATTGGGGTTGTAGCGCACGAGGTCCACAACGAAGGAGAAAAACGAAGTCCAGGTTCGAATCGATCGAACACAGCACGGGCGCACCTAAGCGCACAGCCGCAGACCCTTTTGGCGGATTTGAGCCCACCCTCTAGCGGTGGTTCATGGTCATGTTCAGACCTAGGCGTGACATCAAGTCACAACTCAAGTGAAAAACGTGGTGCACAGCGTGCATCTCAACCAGTTTGAATATTTGGTCCTCAGCCAGCAGTCTGGGTCCCAACATCATCACCATTTTGAAATCAAGCTTCATGACACTTCTAATGTTCGTTTCAAGAGAAAACACGGGATCAGCCGTCGGACTCCGGCATACCCAACATGGGGGCACCCCTCACGGGGTCAGCCGTGCAGCAGATGAGGTGGCAGCTCTTGCAAGCGGTGCGGTATCTACACCACCACGGTATCGGTGGGGTGCCCCTGAGCCAAACAAACAGCAGCGCTCTAGGGTTGCTTGGGAGGTGGGTCAAGGGATTGCATGCACGTGGATTTCAAGACGAACACAGCCGGTGGACGAAGCTTTCACTTTCACACATCATGGAGAGATTGGCTTTCGTGCCGGAAGGTCCATTGATCTATCTGTTGGCTGGTGAGGTCATCGAGATATCTCCTTGGAGAACCTCTTGATCTCGATGCCCGCGGGGTCTGGTCCTTTGCACTGGTTTTGTGAGGTTTTGATTGGTGGAAAGGAGGTTGATTCTTAAGTGTTTCAATCAGTGTAAGTCAGTGTAGCTTCTACCCGCATTGTAGCATATTGTCGCCACATTGACCCAACTGGGCGTGAGGATACTTCCGGATCCAATTGCTCCACAAGCACTTTCTTTGCCCAGATTGTATATATACACATAACTGAGACACCAAGCATCCAAAGCAACCAACAAAACAACAGAACATCCAGGAATTGATGACCTTTCTCAGCCAGTCACGACCACCTGTGGAAGCCTCACCTTGGCCCAGGGAAGAGCCCAGCATACGACTCATGGACTTTGGTCAAGCGGCGCGGGGCACCAGACCTGATGGTTTGATGTTGAACATCTTCATTGAAGATCTTCATTGATGATGCATAAGATTTAATAGTCCCATAGAGTCCCATAGAGTCGATTTTCTTCTGAGAGATACTTTCATGAAGGGAACATATCTTCCATCCTCAAAACTTGAATTGAGTGGAGGCTCCTATATATATACATATATATATATATATATTGATGGTCGTATGTCTTCTTTTTCTTTTTTTCGAATGGAATGGTCGCTTGGTGATCCAGAGATGGTTGGATCCAATGTGAAATAGGATGAATCTCCAACCCTAAAGGGTAGTGTTTGCTGTTGGTGTCCACTTGAAAGGCCAAAAGTTTTCACATGTAGCATGTAGAGTTACATTCCTTGGATCAAGTCCACCCAGAGTTGGGGCTTTCGGAGACCATACATCGCTTGCTTCGATACCTGTGTGAATGGGATGGTATGTCCAAGCAGAGGTCCGGACGCATTCGAGATGCGGGACAGTTCGCCAAAGGCGTGGACGATGAGACGATCCGCTTCGTGATGGGTCAAAACACTGAAATTGGTAGTCCTCTGGGCTCTCCGCTCTCTCCTGGAGACTTCGTTCAAACGGCCCCAAATGGACCGATCAACAGATTGTTTCGACTGGCCCTGCAGATACTTTGGATTCGTCGGGAAGCCCTACTACAGAGGTTCGGCACTCAGCGGGTTCGGCACTACAGAGGGTGGCCAAGTCTCCGAACTGGTTGGCGACCAGGGCTGCAGTTTGTTGGTAGATGAATACCACAAGGGATCACAAGGGTATACATCTCTCTCTCTCTCTATATGTTAATGTTGCTTTTCTTAAATCTTAAGATATTTTTTGCCAATGGTGGTGGGGTGCATCACACCTTCGCTGCCCAAGATCCAGCATTCGGGGGGTGACATCCTTCGCCTCCCGATTTCTTTGTTTCTATGCTTGGTCAACTGTTCGATCCCGAAGTGACATCTGGGAGGTCATCCAAAAAGAGACCCACATGATTTCCAAGGATCAGACTTGCTGCGCCGGTGGTGATGTTGCGATGCAAGTTTACAACATGAACACTTGGAAGACTTCCAACAGGTCACCGCCAGAGGTCCCCCCGAACCGCCTGTGGGATCGGTCTTTCGGACAGGTCCCGAGTGCTACTTGCCACGTAGGCCGCAGGCGTGCCGACCTGCCTGCGGGACCGGGTGCAGCAAAAGGACCGTGGTCTTTTGGAAGAAGACGGTAAATCAGAGCTGCAAAGATTGGTGGCCTCTGAAATCCTCTGCAACCTCGAAGGCGACAAAGGCCCAAGTGAAGGTTGGTCCGACAATCCTTGCGGACCAAGTCTCCTGTTTTGGCTTGCTTTCCCTTCTTGTTTGGCTGCCTAACTGCTGTAGGGACGTTTGATTTCTGGAGAACAAGGTAAGTGGACATGGTTCTGGAGGAGATTCCGCTCAAGGGGAAGAGGAGAAGATGTTGGAATTGTTATGACCGGTGTTGCGGATTCTTCCTTTCTTTTGGTGTCGAAGGTGAAGATGTCTCAACCGCTTTTGCAGGGCTGCTGAAGGATACCATAGGGATGTCTCAAGCCGTCTGCCAGGTCCGTGTCATAGCCCCCGATGGAGCAGTAGCGGATGAAGTAGCCTGGAGGAAGTGGAACAGATGGGGATGCTGAGTGGAAGAAGGGATGAGAAGTCCATGTGAGTTTTCGGGAGTGTATTCCAGAAAAGTGTAGCTTTCAGCTGCATTGGAGTCGACCAAAGACTAGGCAACGAGACCAATTAGGAGAACTGGGAAGTGGTGAGAAGTTGGACCGAGCTGCTTCAAGACAGAAGACGATGGTCTTAGAAAGGCTCGTGAAGCTCAAAAATCGATACCCCTCAGAATGGCATCCTGAAAGACTGCTTGCCTCTAGCTTCACCAGTGGTTTTTCAGGGTCCGTGTTCGTTTTCAGGTAGTAACAAGTGCCACGCTAGTAGTAACAAGAAGCTACTAGTAACAAGTGCATCGCTTCTAGTAACAAGTGCCTTACTACTAGAAACAAGAAGCTACTAGTATCAGCATGGCCCCAAAGGGTGGACCCTTTTCCGAAGACCAAACAGCTGGGAGTTCCCGTTGTGCCGTCGGACAGCCAAGGTTCATTTCCTTGAGAACCTCAATGCAGCCGGACAGCCGGATGGCTACCTCTGCGAGGTGCGAACACTTCGAACAATGCCGTTCACCAACCCGAAACCTCTTAGACCATCTTAGACCTTTTTTATTCACTTCGAATCTGGTCAATAGGGCATCACAAACCTTGGGATTCTCTCCGATTAGGTTCAGATGCCACATGGTGTGGTGCCCGGGCAGTCGCGAGCCTCAGACCGTCCACGGCCGTTTGAAAACGGCCGAGAAAGGTGCCCCATCCGCTTCAAGGACGGAGAGTTGCTAAGCTTGACTCAGCAGACGTCTTGACTCGACATGTTGAAATCTTCACCACCTTGGCACTGGAGTTAGCACGTGTGGGAATCGGTTCACATCCTTTCTGGGGAATCAACGAGTCAAGTTGGGAGCAAATAATCACCACCCACAAAAGTGCCCACCACAACTCCGAGCGGAAAAGATACCCAACTCCTTTCTGTGATCTGGTGGATCTTCACCTCGACCCACGAACCGAGGCCTTGTGACGCCGAACTGGCTGGCTACGAGGCAACCAAAGGAGTGTTGGCCAAACAAATTGGAGTGTCCGTGGGTCTCACCTGCTCTATTTGCCAAAGGCTAAGCGACGAATGATGTGATCCCCCTTTTTCCGTCCCTTCCCCTTGTCCCCACTGGTCCCGCCCGAATACGGTGTCATTGCGTGAAGCTTTGGCATGCCCCTTCCCCATTTTCTTGCAACAAAGGCGCTTGACCTATAAGCACCTGACCTTCATCACCAAACATTCTCCAAGCTGCCCTCTGGAGCCCATCTTCCTACTTCCTACTTCCCACACATCCTTTTTGGTGAGTCCAGTGAGTCCAGAAACGAACGCCCCGGACCTACGTGGGACGTGACTCTGCCAATCCAGGCGCCTCCACTGGATATTTTCTCGTGTGGCGTGTGCCTCTTCATCTTAGCCTGGCGGCTGCCACCGTGGAGCAGCTCTGACATGCTTGGTTCCAGAGTCGAAGTGAAGTTTTGTTGGTCTTGGAGCAGATCAATCACATATGATGTTTTGAAAGTGTTTCAATAATCTCGTGTGAATTGAAGGACCTGCAGAATCCAAGGCCGCAAGGAGAAACACTGGGCGTCCAATTATCTAGAAAGCGCACGTTGGATGCTCAACGGCACGTATCGATAAGTTGTTCTAATCCGCATAGTCTTTTTAAGCAACTATGAATGCGCACGTGTATGTATATATATATATGGCGCTTCCCATATATATATATATGTATATACATGTATCTTCTTTTTCATATTATGTATATATATATATGCATAATTATGTATATGGATCCCTCATGATCAAAGGGCAAAGCATATGATCAAAAAGTGGCTGCTTCCAGAGTTATGGGTAGCATTTATGGTCAACTATCGTTAAGAGTTCCATGTGGGTCAACGACAGCGGAAAACGACAGCGGGCGAAGAACCTCGCAGATTGAAACCAGCATCCCTAGCAAGTCTAACCCTATCTTTCCCTCTCACACACAAACGATTCATAGATGGCCTTTTGCTATTGTTTGATTGATTAACAGAGGGGCTCTCCTCGGTCCTGTACAACGAATTTTTGGGCTACGCGGCCAAATCGACCCCTCTATTATTCCGCAAAGGACATCATTGCAAAGGATGACCTTTTGCCAAGCGGGTTGTGGGCTCACAGACCTTCACAAGACGCGAAGGATGAGTTGATTTTGGCAGGTCAAGCCTTGAGATCAGATCCTAGTTTTCAATACATTCAAGCACGCTTGGGTGCCCCAGACCCTGCAGACGAGGTTTTGGCAGATGTTTGCACGTTTGGATTTGCGTGGAAACAGATCTTCACTGTGGGTTCAAGTGTCAGCTGGGGAATATCCACTCATTGCTGGGGAAGATCCACTGTCACTCTGGACTCGGGTCGTCATAGTTCACGGCTGGAGCTTTCGGACACCGGAATTCGGTTCGTCAGACAGCCCACCACGGTCAATCGAACGGGCGATAGCGGTGGAACACCGGACAGACAGGTCAAACGCGGAACACAGGAATGTCCAGCTGTCACACCGTAACGCTCCTCATTTGTTGAGACTGCTCCTTTCTTCTTGGTGATTTGGTTGATTCTTGGAGCCAGGCCAAACAGGTAAATCACTTGTTTCTGGCGGGTGGTCAAGTGAAAATGCAGCTGCACTGCGTCGGTGGCAGCCCTGCGCTCAGATGGAATTCCACAACTTCTCACCCATTGGAGACAAAGGCTGCTCTCAGCCGAGGCAGATGGGACACGGCAGGATGTTTTTTGCTCCAAGAACTTCTCAGAATACCACTGACCTTTTGCCAACAGTTTACTGTTGGGGTTCTCTGTTCGGAAAAAAGAGGTGCCATTGGTCCTGTCTTCTCCACCTTGTCCGCGGTCGGGGTCTGTGTGTTCTGCTTGTCCACGTTGTCTGCCCTTTTGTCACCGCCTGGTCCAGCTTGTCCCCTGCCTGCCGCGCTGTTTTCCCTTTCTCCATTGCCTTGTCTGTGTTTGTTCTTTTGTGGCTCTGAGTGGAACAGTTGATATCATCCTGTTGCCAAAGTCGTTTGTTGGTTACATGCTGTTCTCAAACAGCTGGAGGCTGTAGGAAGATATACTGTGTAGATATACATCACGAAAGCCAGCCGATAGGCAAGGCTTGAGGTTCCAATGCAAACGAAGGGTGGTGGTTGCAAGAGGGGCAATCTTGGAGAGGCTGGCTCTGGCCAGGAGGTAGTGAAAATGCGTAGTTTTTTGGGGTGTTGTGATGCAAGTGATGTAGTTGACGGCGAGCTGTGCATCAAGCATCACGAGGGAGTCAGAAGGCCATGTAAACTGTCTTTACTAGGGGTGGGAGTGCACGTCGATGAGAGGAAAGGGAAGACAAGGGGACGTGAAAAGTGGTTAGAACTCACCCTATATTTGAGCGCAGGAAAGAGAACAGATTGCAGTTGCGGGCAAGCTTAGCGCTGCTTGGGGGCGCCCTCTTTTAGTTGCCAGACTGAAGAGGGCACTCCCTATGCGGCGGGAGTTCACGTGGATGAGGCAGGAAGGTTTTGAGTTGCTTGGGGGGTTGTTGAGGGCAGGAGAGAGAACAGATTGCTTCACCACCTAAACGCATGCTTTGCCCGATGTTAGCCAATCACTTCATCTCGCGCGCTCCAGTGGCTGCAATATCAACTTCACCACTTCCAGCTACTCTTTCTCCACGCTACCTATATACATATATGTTTCCTCCCGAAAGCCTGCCTCGACCCCCCATAACCAGCTGTGCTCACTGATTGGCGACACAGCAAGAAACCGCACCTCACTTCCTTTGTGGTGCCCTTTTTCACCTCCAAGCGACCCTGAACCACGTCGCAAAAGGGCAACCCCCCAAACCTGTGTATTATACTTTCTCTTTCTACTCCTGTGCAAGTGGCTGCAATATCAACTTCACTGCATAAAGGTACGCCTTGCCCGATGTTCACCCATCACTTCATCTTGCACTCTCAAAGGCTGCAATATCAACTTCACCACTTCCGGCTACTCTTTCTCCACTCTACCTATATACATATATGTTTCCTCCTGAAAGCCTGCCAATAGCCTCGCCCCTCGACCCTCCATAACCAGCTTCGCTGATGATTGGCACCACACAGGAAGCTATCACGCCTCACTTCCTTTGGGGTGCCCTTTTTCACCTCCAAAACGACCCTATACCACGACGAAAAAGGGCACCACCCCCAAACATGTGTATTATACTTTCTCTTTCTACCTCCTGTCAGAGTGGCCCGATGTCAACTTCACCACCTAAACGTATGCTTTGCCCGATGTTAGCCATCACTTCATCTCACGCGCTCCAATGGCTGCAATATCAACTTCATCACTTCCAGCTACTCTTTCTCCACTCTACCCTCCAACACGCCCCTGACCCAAAAGCAACCATGCCTGGGGCGCCAGGTTAGCCCTAAGGGCACCCCCCTTGATGCAAAGGCTGGCTTTCGTCTGCTCCCTTCTCAGGCATATATACGCGATATATGTACAGACGTTTCCACCAAATTGGAGTTCAAGGAGTTGATGCAAAACAATTCTTGCTGGAACTGTTTGGAGCCTATGGTTGTTTTTAACTATATAAGACATGGAACACCCACCTGGCACATCGATGGCTTGATTTGAAGATAACTTCTGAACCTTCTTCCCTTTGGAGACTTGGTATTCCTTTTCGGACAGATCCTTCGAGACTTCGACCTGTCAGAAGGATCTTTTGAAGGCCGCACACAGGTACACACAAACACCATCCGCACTCCCAAACGCCTTAGCCGCACGCACGGCCAATCAGTTCCACCTTCCATGGCTCATGGCCGTTCGGCGGGCTGCAGGCCATGAACTTGTTGAACCAAATGGTTCGATGCTCGGCCGACCCGCGACGCGTGGACGCCAGTGGACGCCACGGCCAGACCGGACGGGTGGGCCTGTTTCTGCACACGGTGGACGGGCAACCTGCGATCAGCACCTTCCCATCGACCAGAGAAGTCGCTGAGTCGGTTTCTTCGCGCTTCGAAATCGAAAAAGGGGGAAAGGTAGGGACCTCCTTCTTTTTTTCCGCAGCCATCGATGCATCAGGTTCACACGAATCCGCAGCACAGATTCTCGGTGGATCAATGCCTTGCATCCGACTGGTGCGGGGCCCCGCGCTGCGAGTCCACTGGGAGATGTGGAGACCTTTGTGGTGCTCGGTGATCCTGAAATGAAGGGAGTTCAAGATTCAGCAAATTTGTCTTGTAGCAGTAGCATTTGCTAGTTCGATTTATTTGGTTCGGTTGTGCCATGCGAAGCAACTCTTCCAACAATTTATTCTTTTTCACTCTACAAGAGGGGACAAACTTTAGCTAGGATATCTTGTTTGAGGTGGGCCTTGACCTGGCTTGGAATGACAATGACACTGCCTTTAATCTCCTTTGATGCTTTTGGTAAGGTGGAAGCGAGATAGCCTCCGAGCTTTGTCAGACCCTAGACTACGCTGCAAAAAAGATGACCTCACACAAACCGATGGAATTTGTGGCTTTTTGGGTGAACCTGACCCCCTGCACGCGTTTTTGCGTCTTCCTTTTTGCGTCGGTGTTGGTTCCAATCGCATCCTGCCAGGCTGGTAGGACTTGGTAACGAGGTGGGCGCGAGTCTGGGAACTGGGGACTGCAAGCTGCACGCGAGGAAGGCCAAGGAATCAATCAGGGAGAAATGATAGGAGAAAGAAAGGGCCAGGCAGATCACGAAAGTACTATCGAGAAATCCGTTTGTTGGACAAAGCAACTGCAGGCAGCCCATGATGATGTCCCATCCAAGAAGTTGGCCTTGACCTCCGAATAGACTTGACTAGTCAAAGCGAAACATCTGTTTCGCACATTGGTTGTGAAGACTGCAGTTGAGTTGCAACCAGCTTCGTCAAATGCGACTTCGGCTTCGTTTGAGGTGCCAGTTCACAACTTTGATGATGGTGGAGGCACGGACTTTGATGGAATTTCGTCGATCACGTCGGTTCGGTTTCCTGGAGAAGGTGGACGGCACCAATGGTGTAGGCGGACGATTTCTGGGCCTCAAGAACTTCCAAAAGCACTCCCACAAGTGGATGGGGCAGACCAAGAGATCAAAAAGACAGCTTTCCTTTCACCCCTGGTGTTTGGGTGATGTTTGGGAGATCTTACCATACATCCAAGGCAGATACAAGACGCCCTGAATGGAATCGCTTCCAGGTCTATCGAATCTATACCACACCCACACACGATTCGGGTAGCCTGAGTTGGAACATGAATCTGTTGAGTTTCAAAGCCCGTGCATTTGTAAGACCTCACCAAGTCCTGCCAGTGTTGCTGTTACGTACGTCGATCCTCAATTAGATCCTGCCCAGTGCCCCAAAACCATCGACTTCCGGTCCAGTCCATCTACCTCCCGTCCTTGCGGAGCAAATGCATGTAGAGACTTGGTCAGCAAGAACCCTTTCTGGGCGCTTCCTGGTCGACCTCACCAGGCCTCAGCAGACGAAGCAGAGCTTCCGACCGACAGACAGGTTGACCCTCCATGGTCGACCGGACGGTGAAAAAGACTTGAGGACTTGGGAACGGTGCTGGCGGCACTCGCTCTGGAACCTGCTCCGGAATCTGCCCAAAAGTCTACTAAATAGGCAACCGAAGCCCTGTGTCAGCCTCAAACCGGTGGGGAAAAACATGAGCTTCGCCTTTTTTCCCAATTCCAGGTAGGGCGAGTAGTGTATCCCTTCCCCTTGTTTCAGTCTGATCAGCTGGAGTGGTTCACTTGGTGAGGGGTAGGCTTCACATTCATCAGAACAGCCGCCGGAACCGTCCTGACATACGACCGAGGATCCGGGTGCCGGCTTGTTGCCCTTTAACCCAGTCATGGGAGTGATGGAGGCGCGGCTGCTTCGGTGTTTTTCAGAGAGTCTTGGGGCACTTTGGGTTTGGTTCGTGTCGTGTCTGAGATCAACTTGTGAGACCTCTTTGTCTCTCGCTTTAATCGACGGGGTTGTCGTTGTTTGCTTCGTTATTCTTTCCAGAGACAGGCGACGGGGTGCCAGGTCAGAGTCGTGCAGTACTCTCCTTTGTGGGCAGAGGACATGCAAAAGCACCAGCAGGATTGGTGGCAACACTACATCATTGACTCTCACGGAACACGGCTGCTTGTCGCAAAGCGCAGAATTGCAAGATCGACGGGTTGCCAGGCCATACTTCAAGCAATTCTGGAGCAAACTCTTCAGTGCAGGATCCATCTCACAAACCCAAGATTGTGGGGATCTGGTACATTCATGTGAGATTCACATCAGCAGTTTGCACAGCAGTTGTGTTTTTATTGTTTGTGTGCAGTGTGCACATAGGCTGGAGATGCATGGCGGTGGAGAGTTGGTGCACATTCCTGATGAACGCCAATTCCCCATTTGCTTGGTACCCCGGGAGGCGGGTGATGGCGGGGACGAAGACATGGAGATGTGTTCGATTCCATGCATGTTGATGGCCAATTGTTTCATTCCGTGTGTTCTACTACAAGATACAAAAGCAGAAATCAATGCTGAGCTGTCATATATATATATATATATATATGAGTTTTTTGGCCCATCATTTTTCTCCTAAAAACACGCACTTGTAGGGGACCATAGGCACCAGTATGGCACAGCCATCAAAGTCCATTTTCATTTGGCCAGGTCACCGTTAAAGTTGTGCATCACTCTGATCGATGGCCAGAAGATCTGCAAGCAGCATTACGTGGCTCGCGATCACGCGCGGTCCATGACTGTGCTGGAAGTCGGTTGCTTGTCCTGCAAGATTGCAGCAAAATCAATGCAAAAGACATTGAAGGGGAAAATAATCGGCATTTTCTATCAGCAGTCTTTTAAAGGCTAGGTTTGCTCAGGGATGTTGCAGACATTAGGGGGTCGTTTGGGGTCGTCTTGCAGTGTGCCAGCACAGTCTCTTAGGCTACAGGCTGATGACACACCAGAAAGTTACCATTTCCCTCTCTTCGTGGCAGGACTCGAGGCGCAGGGTTGTCACGTAGCTGTTTTTGCTGACATGCTGACATCAAGGTGTTGTTGCGCCGGTGACGTGGTGTCACGTTGGTGTGTTGGACCGGCTTGCCTGTCACACGGAAGTGTAGAACTCTAACGGGGACTGGAGGCGGGTAACTGGGTCAACGTGCCAATCCAACAAAAACATGAGGTCAGCTTGCACCACACTCATAACATTAAAATAAACATGACATGAGTTCAGGCTCAAGGGGCTCAAAAAACAGGATGATCCCACAGCCCATATTGAGGGAACAAAGCGATAAGTCCAGATGGACTTGTACTACGAGCAAACTGTATACCGAACTCCTGACCAAGGCAGCATGAGGCAACATGAGCCCAAGAAGAATCCCCAACAGCTGGCATGACTCCGCCACAGACATCTATGCATGAATCCTCATGTTCTTTTGGGATTGGCACTTTGACCCAGCTACCTGCCCCGGAAGTAGCAGCTTGCGCCAAGTAATGCATTGATCTCCTTCCAGAATTTCTGAATCTGAAAGCCCTTCCACTCCTGCCTGAATGGAGACCCGTGTTGCCACGGCCGCCATGGCTCAGGAAGCATGCGGGTGACCGTCGAGCGGAATCCAGGTCGCCAGTCAGTGGGGGGGGTTGGAATTGCAGCTTTTGAGTTGGAAGAACGGGGAACGACAGTGAAAAAGGAAGCATCCAAACTGCTTCATCAACGGTACTTCCAAGTCTTGATCTAAGTTTTGGTCCAAGTCCACGTGTCATGTTTGTTTTCTTCCGGAAACTACCATTTTTTTTCGATTACATGTTTCCCTCTCACCCTGCCTTCTGGTGGACCCGCAGAGAATCCTTTGCCTCAGAGAATCCGTGGCCCATTGATCTTTTGTGCGTTCCGCTGGCCAATTGTTGATTGTGGTTTACCCGAGGTGTCGTCAAATGCTCGATGTTTTGGTCAACATCCTTCCCCTCCGCGCCCTTCACGTGTTCTTTCCTGATGCACCCGGCTCTGACGCACCTCGAGGCGACTTCGGACTGACGTCTCCGGCTCTGCACGCCCCGTAGGTGGTCCGGCGCCCCGTAGGTGTGATTTCGTGTGAAACAGGAGCTACCCAGTGTGACGCCAACCTCAGAGATGTCAACCGTTCAAACCTCCCGAACCTTGGAAGAAGTCGCTTTCCTTCAGTGTTTTTTTGGTGTCAAGCAGTTGGTCGAAACAACAATTGCACAGAGATTGCTGGGTATCTTCTGGAATTTGCATAGATGCACGGTAGCAGACCCGTGTTGGTGGGCTTGGATGCTTTTCCGTCAGCGGGTTGGGAGAAAGATGGTTCAAGAGCAGGAATCGGTCCAGCTAATTCCACCCGTCAGATCAAGCGTTTGGGGCAGATGTAGTCCCCCTCGTCAGATCTCGTCACCCTGTCCCTGACCTTGGACGACCTTGGAGAGCCTCTTTCTTGGAAGAGTATCCAGCGCTTGCCATGCCACCAGCGCTTGCGCGCTGCATCCAAAGGCTCTTCGTGCGATGCATCGCACATTTCGATTCTTAGACTTCCTGTTTGTGGGTCCTGCGATTTCGTGTCCAGCCAGGTGACGGTGGCGACATGTTCTTTTTTCTACCTCAACACGAGACCGAGAAAAGCAGTGAAAGACATTGAAAAGCCAAGTACAGTACAAATACATCACAGAATCAAATTCAAGTACCGCGTCAAACTGCTTGGTATTGGTTGGTTCAGATTACTGAGAGCCGTCAAACTGCCCAAAAGGATCAACAGGAAACCCAACAGTTTCTTTTTTTGGCACTGTGGCCTCCTCTTTTTCAAGGGCCGTGATTGGGTTTGGTGTCCCAAGCTACACTCATCACTGCATTGCCTGCATTTGGGGTTGACACTTGGCGAGGGCCGAAACATCGGGCGCTGTCATCCTTCCGGCACGCCCGGGCGTGGACCTTTTGACGAGGAGTTAATGCTCAGAGATCCTTAACCATCGCGGCAAGCGTCCGCTGCAGAGCACAGGAAGATCCGTCCAGATCTCCGGATCGAGCCTTTTTCGAAGCGGCGATCGATTCGGGGAGAAATCGGAGCGCGGCGATCGATTCGCCGGCCTTTGTTGGCGATCATGGTGATCTGGATGGGCAAAGACGAAGCAGTTAGCCAGTTAGGCAAAGAAGTCTCTAAGAAGTGGGTGTCGGGCACTTGAAGAGGCCAGAGCTCCTGAATAAGGTGGTCTTGCGTTGCAAAAGGTCTTGAAAGGCTGTCAATGTTTTGATTCAAGTGAATCCTCATCAAGGTGCCTTTGTGAGGTTGCCCAGCACCCGAGACTTACAATTCATGATAGGAGAAGTCTCTAGAGGATTGTCACAAAAGACTCTGGCGATCTCCAAGAACTGCCTCCAGTGAACTTGCACGCGTCTCACGTGTCTCAGATTTCGATCCTTCCCAAGTCCTGGATTTCAGGGGCAGATCACTTGCTCACCAAAGAAACATCACTCAGACAGACCTCCGAAATCCAATTCTAGAAATCAAACTGACGAAGGTGAGACACACCCGCTGGCTGGCAGATTTCAGCACCATGAACTGGACACCGTGCCTTGCAGCCGAATCCCTGGCCGTCGAACGAGTTCGGTGCCTCTCGTCGAATGGAGCCAGTGAGGCCACGGCCGGCGGTCGGTTTGGGCGCTCTTTATGTTGTTTTTTGTCCAAGCAAGGAATCGAACAGGTTCTTGTTTGCCGAAAGTATCCCAAAGTTCTGGTTTCAGATTTCAGGGGTTTCAGATTTTCAGGAAAACACTCACTTGGCTTCTTTGCGTTCTTGAAGAATTACAGAATTGAGCACAAGAGTGTATTGGTGCTCAAGAGTACGGGGTCGTCGTAGGTGAGAACTCAACTCCACCTGGATTCTTCGGTTAATTCAAGGGATGAGGTTCAATACGAGGTCTTGATTAATAAACCCTTCCCTCGAATTAAAGGGTTTAAGCAACCAGGCCTCGTATGCAACCCTTCCATAAGAGGAAAGGGTTCTTTCAAGGGATGAGGTTCGCATCCACTTCCATCCCTTGAACGTTTTTCAGGAATTGAAGGGTAGCTCCCCACATCTGACGAACGGCTGGCGTCAAGGGGAATCAAAGGGGGCCGAGCCGAACAAGAGGTTTTTTGGCACACGCAAAGACCAAGGACACGAAAGGACACTTGTACGACCAAACGGAAGAGGAAGGAAGGAACAGCAGTTCACACATTTCTCACGATTGAAGTAGGAGCTAAGGTGAAGACCAAGCATGTTTTGTCCAACCGAAGAACAATGGAAACAGACCTTTGAGCAATCACTCTATTTGAGCCATGCCACAAAGTCTGAAACTTTCTGCAGCAAGCATGGTGTATCATTCGCACCAAGGTTGTTTATCATTATATATTTCGTTCGTGGGAGGAACGATTGCCACCTGGCTCTCCCTACGACGTGGACCAGGGCAAGTGCTCAGACGTGACAACACCCGTAGACGGGAACAGGGCCACGGCTTCAATGAAGCCTTGACCTCTGGGTTTGATTTGTCGTTCTGAACCTGCAGGTTCTGCCTTCTTCGACCCGGTGTTTGGGCCTCTGTTTTTCGTTTCTTTCCTTTCTATCTTACTTTTTTGAAGTCTCCAACTTTTTTTCATTGCTCTGTATTGCGAAGGAACCGACTCCCCGCCGCGCCGTTGCGGAGTTTTGACCTCACTGGTCGTTGAGCCGTGCCCAGACGTTTGGATCGCGTCTCGGTCCTTCCAGCTGCCGTAGCTCGGTTTGGAAGCTATCCGATTATCCACAAGCAGAAGGGGAGACGCCATTTTCACCTAGTAGCTAGAAGCTAGTAGGTTGGAGGCCATCGCTCTTAATTAGGTTGGAGGCCATTTGGGACCTTGACCATTGGGTCAGAAGTATCAAATGTCCACATAGGGATCCCAAGACTTGGTCAGAGAATGTCTATCTCTTAATGGGTCCTGAGAGCTGCCTGTTCTCTACACCTTGGGCAGACGCGGTGCAACATGCCCTCTTCTCCAGAGATTGGTTGAATTTCTGATGTATTCGGGGTATCTTTTTAATCTGGGTAAATCCAGACAGTCCAACCGATTCGAGACCAAGCTGAACTCTCGTTTCAGAAAGATGTATGTACACATATTAAGTACTAGACTTGAGATGAACTAGACCACTATTCATCATGGATGATCCTGGACAGATTGCTCGATCTTGGGTAGGTGCTGATGGTTTAAACATTTTACATGATTTTGCTAGCAAATTCAAGTTTACAATCCTTGTTAGTCGTTCCTTATGAATGTGTTTGTCTTGCATGCTTCGCGTCACACCCGTAGTTTATCCAGAGACAATCTAGCACTTCAATCTACTGACTGTTCATGTTATGTTCACCTTTCAATCTTCCCAGTACCCGTTGTGCATGGAGAGCAAGGGATTTTGTTTTTCTCAGGGGCGTGGATGATGGTAGCCCGAGTCATGGGTCTCAGACGGTCTGGTGTATTGGTTGAATTGGGAATTGCATATTGACACTGTATGTCATGTGTCATACGCCCTCATGACCACTTTTCATTTGAACATGGGAGTACTTAGTACTTGGCTCTTTGTATGCGACCCGCCTCATGGCGCCTGACTTCCCCATCCGAGCGAGCCGAGCGAGCTGGGGGCGCCTCAACGTGACTCCGGCCGTAGGAGCTTTTCGGTCGAACGGTGGAGGTCGAGACGGAGGGGTAGCTCAAGCTGGGGACAAGAGAGGATGGATGGTCAGACTGTAACAAGTTTGAGGTATACATCCGTTGCGGCTGGGTTAGAAGCAGCCTGAAACTGGGTTAGGACATCTTGGGACTATTTGCATATTCCATTACCAGCCTCCGACTCCTGCAATGCTCCTGTGACGACCCAGCACGGCTGCCCAGAAAAACAGAGAAGACTGTCTAGAAGTCCCTTGCGCTTGATGGTCTGATTGGATCTGCGGACTACGACTTCTCACAACATTGGATCTGCAGGATGCAGGAATGGGTTCCACCCATTTCCTGGGTCGTGTCAAGTGGCGCGAGGGCAGCGAGCTTCCCTATCACTCTACCCGAAGTTCAGTGGGATTTCTCAGAGAGAGAGGGAGAGAGAAACCATCCGAGGGTCGGATCATCTAAGAAAGATCACGACTCGCGCGATGATCGCACCTGGCGTGTGAACCGCCACCGATGTTTCAGCCAAAAGAGGCCCAACGAATGGCCGTGACGGGGGGCGCGACAAGGTGGAAGGCTCCAGTGGCTGGTTACGACATGTTCTTCTTGTCTATAGGGCAAATATGGGCAAAATGGGTTAAACATCTCCACCACAAGGCTTTGGAAGGCCGGGCCCCGAACGCCTCATTCTTTCCCGAACCAGAGATGCGAAGAGGCGACGATCTTTACGTAACACTCACCCGGCATTAGCAGAAGTTCCTTGTTCATTATTTCTCCCCACGTCATCCCACTCCAATGCTGAACGCTTCTTCAAGCATGAGAGTGTGAAGCTTGAACCCGGGGTTGACTTTCTGGACTGAACGTGCACCTCCAGCATTCTCAAGCAACCAAAACGACACGACCCACTTGTCCTGTGTT